GTTCCCATCTCAACATCCTTAGTATCTAAATGCAGTTTATTACATGAAATTACGCGATCTATAAAAAACAATCGGTTATACTAGTATTTAATTCCAATTTAATCTTACCTCGAACAATGATTGATTCAAACTTGAACTCAGCAAAATCATATTAGAATTGACATTATCAACGAGCAACTGCACTATTCAAATTAAAAATAATATAGACACATAAATAATTAGTTATGTGTCATTCATGCTTTTTGTATTCGTTTTACATAATTATAATAGTATTTGAAGATTCTAAAACATTGAGGTTATTCATTCTAGTAGGTGAACAATTATATATAAGAGCACTGAACTCGTTTACTTGTGTCAATTTTATGTTGGATAATTTGTCTGATACTATTGAAATTGCTATTAACATTCTATTAGACTCTGTGTAAATTTAATTAATAAAATTATGTTTTTTATTACTATCTTACTTTTATTATTAATATTATTTACCTCTAATATAAAATGCAATTAAAATTAAAATATTTGAATATTTGGAATTTGTAAACTGAAGTTTATTATGCCTGAGCTGTATTATTTAGTTAGAAGTGAGAAGTAGCAGAGAATGGGGTGGAGTTAAGGAAATTGGAGGGTGATATGCACCTATTCTGTAAATCCCTTTGTACGATCAGCAGGGACACCCTAACCACAGGGCTACATTGGCTATAATCCCATGGCGCCAGTCTTTTGGGGCGGCAATTTAGCTTCCCCTCCCATGTACTTTCTTATAAAGAGGGGCGCATTATTCTTAGTAGCCCATGGGCAATAAATATTGTAGGACCCTTGAGCCCTGAGAATACACAATTATCATTGCATACGGTGTATAGGCAACAATGAAAGTAGACATCCTAGGGTTATAAGTTTAACTATCCCCATAACATTTGCAACTAATTAACATAACACAATTAAATGACTTTACAGGAAATATTAATTAACCACAGACTGAATTTAATACTTGTTCACTTGGATCAATAGGACTTGACAATACCAATCCGTGTCGTATATTAATAACTATCAGCTTAGTTAAATATATAATTTATTACCTTCATAATATTTATAGGTATTTTTATTACAATTTAAATTATAAGGTAATTTTAAAAATTTATTTATTATTTTAATTTTTTTATTACTCTTGACCTCAGATTATAAATGATATTATCATCATTTATTCTTTCCGTCTGTGTGCCTTTATCTGCACGTTGTACTCGGTGAATCCGGCAATCTCTGACCACCCTATTCATTCTAATGAGCATATCCATAATCCGTACCTGATATCGAAGTACTTGCTAAAATAAAAATAAATAAGTTATATATATTCATATTTTTAAGATCTGCAACACCAATTCACGCATACATACGTTTACCAATGATATAAGACGTTCTTCCAGCGGCATATTTGCTGGAATTATAGTACTTCGAGAGACCACTTTTAGAGACAATTTCTATAAAAAGAAAACGTTACAATTAATATATATTGTAATTACATCGTATTGAATTTAATCATTTTGAAATGATTCTAAAATTAAAATCTAAATACCTTTCAACTAAAATTTTGCTTCCCAAGCTTTGGCAAATAACCTAAGATTTTATGTAAAACAAAATCCGAATTGCAACAAATTTAGTTTTATTGGTTATTAATTCAGAATGCCAACATTAAATTTGTGGCATTTATAGTATAGGCAACTTATATACCTTCTATGTATTGTATAGCAATTTTCTCAATCTTTTAATTTATAAACAAAATTAACAAAAATTATTTTGTATTCGAAATTTGAATGGATCAAAAAGATGCATATGAAACATGGTTTCGGGAATGTAGCGAGAATTCATACATTTCTGTGATTTCATCAATTTGGCTGTAATTCGCGTTTAATGAAATTAACACGAAAAAAAATATCTCGGAAACTATAATAGATTGAATGAATGTAAAAGATTGATATGAAAGCTGGATGTTTGGGGACTATGGCCAGTATTCATGCATTGCTGTGCTTTAATCCATTTAAGGGTGGCATTTCGAAGCAATTAATATACATTTTTCTTGCTACTTAGAAATGATTATAAAATAGAATATTAAATGCATACCTGTATATTTGTTATTTTTCACAAATAATGATGATTTAGATTCAACTAAAACTTTGCTTCCCAATCTTTGGGCAAAATATAAGATGTTGTAATGTAAAACAAAATTATAATCAGGACGTTGTTTATTCAGAGCGACAACATAAAATTTGTGGCATAAATAGTATAGGCAACTCAAATTGACTCTAAGCTTTTAGTTGTTCTTATAATTCAATTTGTAGTGAGAATGTATGCTTTTATTTATTATATATTGGAAAACATTCATATTGTGATTAATCGATTATTTAGATTTCGGGTTGTAGATCAGGTGATCAAATGATTCTACGGAGTTCGGTATTGACACAGTACGTGGCCAGTCATATACTAAGTGAATTCGAGCATCCTGGAGGTAATTTTATACAAATTGAACATCAATCAGGTACTAACTCGCTTATTTCAGCTATGGACGTGGAGCCAACACCACCTGGAGATCCTCAAACATCAGCATCGTCTTCGACATCAGAAGATGGCGAGGAAAGAACAAACTTCCGGGAACTTTCATTCCAGAAGTTTGAGAATATGATGGCCAACAGTTTTCAGAATATCCGCATCGACGTCTCTAATAACTTGTCGCCTCCCGTGGCTCAGAAATTCCAGAAAAAAAGCAAAGGTTTCAGGTACTTCGTCAAGTATTTGGTACCTGGTAACAAGGAGCAACACTTCTGCGTGGAATTCAAGTACATGAGAGTTAAATCAAAGCCCACGAAGCAAGCTGTCACTGTAAAGAAGAGCTCCAGCCACATGCTCTGGGGTCTTCCATTGTGCTTGGTGCAGATGCCTAAGAGGGATCAGTATTCAAACCAAGTCAATGTACGCATCAAGAAGGCTAAACCGCCCATGGGACAGCCAATCGGTGTAGCTCGCTACAAACGTCCCAAATATCTAAGAATCTAAGTAACTGCTCAGCACATTCTTATAACAGCACACTAAACGTATACTCATAACGCATAATCTAATATAAAAATATGCTAATTATAATCATTGAATCTCTTCAAGCTTTTCTTACACAATTATTTTGCGAAGCATGGACATTTTTATGTAATAACATGAAATTTATCTATCTTTATGTTGTGTATAATCAATATTTTGTTACTATTATGATGATTTAAATGGGTATTTAATGATAACATATAGTATTTAGCAAATTCCACAAGACGCACTTAAAAACAAATTATGTAGTTTTCAGCACAATAAATATAATGCTTAAACAAAATACAATTTGCAAAAAATACTTTTCATTAATTTATCATATTCCAGATTATGTACATGTATTTTCTGTTATTCCAAAATAATTATCATGCAACAACCATAATTTCGCTGCATAACCAGGAATCACAAGAAAGGTAAAGTTTTATTATTTTTTTTTATTTTTTAATTATTATAATCATAACTTCTATACAGCAAGATACAGCATCACTCTGATTAGGTAAGAAATCTAGAAACTAGCAACAATAATCAATACCACATAAATTGTGGTCATATAGTATAGAATTTTTAAAATTAAAGAATAAAAATGATATAGGTTAAAAAATGTGAAATATTACTTAACATATTACAGGAATCTTAATTTAGAATATTTGACGACCAACTTGAACACTGGGAATGTCTTCGAGCCTGCTTATCCTCGTTTTCCACGCGTACAGTATATGTGGACTGTGTTTTCTCTTGGTTCTGGTATATAGACCCATACATCAAGATAACAAATATTTCCATCGAATATGGTTTGAACTACCTTCGGATCTCCACCTTGCCTCACAAATATCTTTGTATAGTACTAAAAATAAAATAAAAACAATATAAACAATAGTCAATATATATAATAAAACGCAATGTAAACTCACCCTATATTCACTTGGTATTTTTGTGTGCAATTCAGCGACGATCGCGTTCTTGAGGCAAACTGATATAGGAGGCATTTTTTTCACATTAGTTAAATTAACTAAAATTAAAATATTTTAGTTTTTCACTATTCAGTTTTCAGTTGTGCAGAGGGAAAGAAGATACTCACCCTTAGGTAAATGAATACTAAATGGCCAACTCTGACAGCACGGAAAGGCTCACCAAACGAAATATAAACGAAAATCCCCACCCCATAGTTATGCGCACACCCCCACTGTTGATATTTAAATTTCAAACTGATACTTTTACGTGTGTTTACAATGGAAATAACTGCGTATTTTCAAACTGATACTATTACGTGTGTTTACAATGGAAATAACTGCGTATTTTCAACTGCAACAATATATTCATTGTTTTTTTTATTACAAATTTTGTTTAATAATCTATTTTAAATAATAAAATTAATTTTGGGTGATCAAAATCAAAAATCTTCAATTGACTAAATTTAATTGAATTTATATATTTCACACCAATTTGTATTTTTTTATTGACAAGTTATTTATACTTAAATTATATTTGTGAATTAATTGTTTTTTGATTTATACCTGTATTTTATTGACCACCGGTAGGTCGAAATTTCTGAAAAAAAAAGTATTTTCTTTACAATACTCGTAAAGGTAAATGTGTACAGGTAAAGTTTTCATCATAAACTGAACTACCCGAAAAATTGCCAAACACTAACCCCTGAATGACTTACATTTACAAAAAATAGTATAATTAAATGGAATTGTTTAGAAATATACAGTTGAAAAGTTCAGAGTAATTTTGTCGAAATATATTAATTTTTAAAGAAATATATCTAAAACAAGTTGGAAAAGCACAAGTACAAATATGTTTTTAAAAGAAAATTAAGTATAATCTTAAATTAAGTAAAAATTTGATTTGACGTTCTTAAATTTTGTGGTTATTTATTCAGAGCGCCAACATTAATTATGTGACAATTATTGTATAGGCAACCAATTTTGGTTCTATAGTTTGCATAAGCTTTGTCATTAATTTCTTTTAATTAACGTGGTAAGAATGTACACGCTCAGTAAATTGACAGCGCTTGAGTTGTGATAATCGATTAGTTAGAATTCACGGTATAGATCAGATCAAAATGCGTATAAAAAGTGTCGAGTTGGACACATTCTTGAACACATATATACCAAATGATTGTAAGTAGTCTGAAGATAAATTTCATACAAATTGTCATAGCTTATTTTAGCTATGGACGAGAATCCTAACGGTGGCGAAAGAGCAACACAATTCCGAGAAATAAGCTTTCAGGTGTTTGAGGAATTGATGGCCACTCATTTCCAAAAGATTCCGATTCATGTCAGTCGCAAGAATACGTCGACTCCGGTCTCCCAGAAATTCCAAAGGAATAAAAAGGGTTTTATGTATTTTGTAAAGTACTTGATACCTGGAGTCAAGCAAGAACACTTTTCTCTCGAATTCAAATACAGAAAACTGCAATACAAACCGTCAGAGCTGGAAGACACCGTGAAGAAGGGCTCTAGTTGCATGATCTGGGCTCTTCCGTTTTGCTTGGTGCAGATGCCTAATAGAAATTACTATACCATCCAGATCGAGATCCGCATCAAGAGAGTGAAACCACCGAAGGGCGAACCCGTCTTTGTTTCATTTTACAAACCTCCTAAAAACTTAAGAATTTAATTGATTCCAATTAAACCTAAACATTTATTACCATGATATTATTAACAATTATATTGTTTTATTCTTTTAAACACAATTATTATATGCTCATGCTCGTAATTTTCAATTCTATGTTCATGATAGAATTGCAATAACTTGTATTTTATATCGTACTATATAAAATTTATATATTTATATAATAATGAAAAAAAAAATTATTTGATATATAAACTGTATTTTTGCAAATAAATTTATATATTGTAATTAAAAAAATCCCATGAAATATTGCGTTTAGCTGTTGGAATATTATAGCCACGCCCGTTATTATAATTAGTGTGGCATTTAGCCAACGGTAACCGTTCTATAGAGACGTTCCTCGTTTGGCTACTTTCTATTCCACGCCCATCAAATATCCTAGAAACTTAAATAAAATGGTTGTATTTCTTTGTTCATTCATTATACTTATATAATACAATAAAACGCCGATTATCCGGCTCTTAACAATAAAATTGTCTCTACAAATCTGCCGTTTTTGTATATCAATACATATACATTAAGTTTTTAAAGCAATTGTATTAATCATGTTTTTCAATTATCCGTGCTTTAATGTTCCCGAATTTCCACCTATAATCGGCGTTTTACTGTATATTTACTTTAATTTAATTACGTAATACGTCTATTTATATTAGTACATGTGCTGTGTGTGTTTGTATTATTGATCACTTCATTCCGGATACTGGATCTGTGTACGCACATGCAAACTCCAGCTGCAGATGATTAAATATATTATATTACCGACACGTAGTAATTACTTTACCCATGAAAATCAATCAGTACTGTGCTTTTAATTATAATTTGAACAAATATATTAAATTACCTAAATAATTATGTTTATAATCAAAGATTTCAATGGTCATTAATTACCAATTAATGGTTAATGAATTTCATTTTCATTGTAGCTTATAGATTGCTACAGTAGTTTCTGAAACAACATTTTAGGTTCAAAAAGGATTATTTCATAATAACTAGCAACTATTTCAGGGTACAACGCAATGAAGGATATGTGTATAACTACCCCCATCTATCGTTTCTCCGCTCAAGCTACAAGTATAAATAAAAAAAGTCTGCAGAATATTTGTTAAACTTTATTTTCCAGATTATTTAAAAACAATTTGTATTTTGGGGATAGGAAAATGGGATAGAGGATTAAAGCTGTTACGTAAATCAATTTTGGTGATGTAATTCTCAGTTAGAATATTACTAAATTTTGTTGCATATATTTTTAATATCACTTTGGATTATTAGTAGTCATTGCTAAGGTCTATTTAAAACATAATAAAAGTCAAATGATTTTCTTTGTTTTATTACTTTATAATCCTTCAATTTTTATAGCTTGTTCATTAAAAGGAAATTTTAAAATGGAATTTAATAGTTAGTTTTGCTTTTATCGTTAAATCGATTATTTGTCTAGTATAGAAGTGTTATGGTAGTAATAAAATTTGTTAATGTATAAAATAAGATTTATATTTTTTTTTAATAAACAATGTTTTTAAAGGACACCCTGCATTAAATAAATAAAGCTTTATAAACAAATATAGTTCACATGATCAATAAAGGAATGTTTGTTATTCAAGGTATGAAGAAAGGTAGATGATAATGATGTTATGGATGATTTGTAACAAAAACAATCTCGGTAATGCATCGTTTGCGTTTAAATAAAAGTTATTAAGTACAAAATAAATTTCAGTCTTATAAACGTGCTTTGAGCAAACTGAAGTTTATAAGTGAAGAAAGGTGTCCTTTCCTTTAAACGCAAACAGTTTCGAATCAACAATATAATATAAAAATATGTTTTATTTTGTATGCAGATTCTCTGTGGAGGACGCTGCATTTCAGTTTCGTTATTTTATCTACATTGACTAGAAGTTGTATTGATCTATTGCATCAATTATTGTATTTATCGTGTATGAATGAATGAATGAATGAATGGATGATATGAAAGACTGTCCTTAAATGTCCCAACTAAATAAGTGGTGTTTTACGAGCATATCACGCACGCCATCTTTCAACGGTTGATTGTTCGTCTCCTTCTTCACGGGCAACTCCCAATCTGGATTTAAACTAAATGACAGTTGAGACAAAATACGGAGATCACATTTGATTTGGACCCAGCCGGGACTGTAGATGAACGACCACGGATGATACCTATAAAAAAATATCATATAACCGTTGGCAAAACTCCATCGGGTTATATAACGTGTTTTTACCATTTTTGTACGACGTCGCTGCAGGAACACAATACTTCGAGCCACAAATGTAACACTTGCTCGTTTAGGCCCAAACATATTAGGCTTCTCAGTTTCACGTCCATCTGGGCATGTGCATTGTCGTGTGACAAGTTTATAGCTTGTACGCAACGGTATAAAAGCTCCTCCGGCGTCAGTACCTTACCGTCTTCGTCCAACCTATAGGTTTTGCACAGCACCAACCTACTATAAACCGAATTGAAATCCTTTTCAACTTCTTTCGTTGCGGCCTCTTCGATGAACAACCACGGATGGCAAGGTCCGCCTAAGAAGTTTGGCCTCTTCATTCCGTGCTCCAAGACCTGCTTCATGACCGGACAAAGAGTACCTCTGACCAAATCCGTAACCGTTTCTGAAATACTGTCGTCGCCGGCGCAACAATACTGCTTGCTTCTTTCATCAAGCAATTCAACAAATTTCGCTGGGAACCAACCTATAAATTATTACACACAAAATTATTATAAATTTAAAAAAAAAAACATCTCCAAATACCTCTTAGTCCATTCAACTCTCCGACCCAACAGTGTTCGTCCTTTTGACTCAAAACCGTTATTATATCGTTCTTCCTGAAACCTAACTCATCGTCGTCGTGTCTTTCAAAATCTGAAAGTAAACAATAAGATTCTGAAAGTACAAGCTACTAATTGTCAATACCCAATAAGGCTTTAGCTCTTCTTTTCCGATTTTTTGAAACATTAATGTAATTCGAGTGATCTATTGCATGGCTTTCCATTGAATAGTCGGCAACCAACGAAATCTCTGATGACATCTTCGGATCCAACTGAAGAAAATGTCGAGCAATCTATGAATAATCACCATTTAAATGAAACACATTTTAAAAGATAATTCGATTAACAATACTTGTAAAATAGCCTCTCTTAAATCGACCATAATTTCAGTTTGTTTGATATTTTTGCACTTAATGTCATCCTCTCCACTTTCATTGAATAATAATAGTTGTATAACAGATTTGTTCTTCTTGACTTGTCTTCTGGCTAGATGTTGTTTCGGCAAATTGGGTGCAGCTTCCGGGTTTCCAACTAAAGCACCTTGGTCAGCCATCAAATAGGCCAAGTGCCTTCTTCTGTATGTCTCCACCATGACTTCGTTCAAGGAATTCGCGACTTCCAATGAGACCTTTCCAAACCACGTTTTTATTATTCTTAAATGACATTTGATGTACCTTTACCTCTAATAATTTCTCCACGTCGTCTATATCCCCAGGTATATCAGAGAGGGCGTTGAATATTTGTGCCGAGTTCTCTAGCGTTTTCATTTGGGGTTCCTTCATTTTGAGCATACCCAGAGTGATTTGGAAAAGCACAATGGATCCATTAAAGAAAAACATGTCCCATATTCTCAGCAAGATTTTCATATGCACAACATTTGCAAACAATGTTAAAAACCAATGCATGGTAATCAGGGAAAGTTCTATGTCGTGATTTTTTAACGTTTCGTCGATTGCTGGTAAATAACTACCAATCAATGTACGCAAAACTCTCTGGTCAGCTTGAATCCCAATTAAAGTTGAACTGTAATAGGAAGCTGGCAACAAATCTTCAACTATAGTCACCATTATCCAAAAAGTGTCCTCTTCTTCAAGTAGCAGCAGTAAAGAAGCTGCTATCATTCCAGTTCCTTGGCAATAGCTAAAAACAAAAACTTACATTTATTTAAGGAAAATAATAAATAGGCTACATTACCCAATGTCTGGGTATAACCAAGCAATTCCTCTCAAAATTCTCCTTAATCTAGGTATTCCTGTACTGTTAATGTTGCTGAAACAAGCATTTGTTGGCATAGTATGCAGCAAATCTTTTTCAATTTGTTTGGACGTCATAAGTGAATCATTACTGGACATCTTAACAATTTCTTTGTAACTTAATTCAGATTGCTGTTTCTTCTGCATGGCTCCAGACATCCTCATCCACAACTGAGGTCTAAGTGAATGTGGTATACCATTTCTCACCATTGTTCTTAGCTTATCTGTTCGAGGCAAATTCAGTTCAACTTTATCCCAAGTTAAATCAGATACTTCTTTGTTATGAGAAAATTCCAGATGTGCTACCCATTGCAATCTAATAAATCATTATATTCATGAATTTAACAATATTACAAAGTATATGTATCTTAGCAAACCTATGCTGTGGATCTTCAACAAATGGTATTCCCAACAGCTTATTGGAACTTTGTTCAGGTCCATCTTCCTCATCAACACGAAAACCAAATTCATCAAACCTGAATGCATATTATTTAGTTGAAATCACAAATCACTAACGAAGAAAATTATATATATATATACAAATACAGTACATTCAATGTTAATGTTACCTATATTCTGGTTGTGAGTTTGGATCCTCTGGTATAATGGATAATTTAGCCATTATATCTTGAGGCCACATAGTTGATGTTAGAGCAGAAAATGGTCCTCCAGGTGTTGGAGTCAGCTTGTCATCAATAGTAAGAGTACCATTGAAGGCTTCTTCAAGTGCTGCCTCCTCCACAATCTCCGAAATAGCCATCTCAAATTCTCTTTTCTACAAAAACAATATGCTTACTCTAATTAATTGTTTATGACTTATATTAAACACTTACATTATTATCTTCTTTACCAACATATCCCTCATGGTCTCTGTGGTCTCGAAATAGAGATTTTGCTAGATCCATATTGTAACATTTACTATATATTACAGACTTTTTATGTTTGATTAATTGTTGCTTTAATTATAACTGCAATATAACTTTCTACTAACTATACACTATTGTTTTAAAATAAGGTACACTACATATTTATTACAATTACATGAAAATAATAGACAAAACCACAAAATTACTAACCAATACTACAATCTGACATTGACAGTTACATCATACGTTGCCACCTATTACATTGGTTATGACATAATCAAAAAAAAATATTTTTAGCTCCCACCCACTGAGCATAAAAAAAATAAGAGACAATGTTAAGAGATCTTGGGTCAATGGTTTTAACAAAACGTAACGTTGTTTTGATACGTTGATGTAATTAGTTCTTCTCTGTAATAAAGGGCAACGTTGTAAAAAAAATATAAAAATCTGAGAAAAGGTCAATAACTATAATTCAAAAGTTGTATACTTAAAAAAGGATTTAATATACATTTTTAATGAATTAATTTTATATATAAACATTTATGAAGCTATAAACATTAACAAAAGCTGTTTTTTGGATCTATTTAATGAAAATTATAAATTTTACTACAAATTTAGCGAAATATATAGAATTATATATAAAATTTTAAAAAATAACTATATGCATGATGAATATTAATAATTGTATCATAAATTACATTAGTTGATGGTACATTGTGTTGCCTATATTATAGTTATTTTGATTTTTTTCTATTCTTGTAATTATTAATATTAATTTCATCCTTAAAAGATTTACCTTATTTTATGTTTTAATAATTTTTTTTTATGTTAATGTAATCATTGTAATTATTGCTGTGGTTTATTGATTATTTTTAAAAATAGTTTATTCAATAAAACGCTATTAACCGTAGTGGCTGGATGTTATAATTCTACTATAAAACAGTAAGTTTATTTTAAAATTATTAAAATAAAAACTTTTAGAATTTTCATGAAATTTACTTATATAACAATCATATAAACGAATGTAGTATCTCTATATAAATTAATAATAAGCATGGATCTATAATTGCATCAATCCGTTAAGGTCATTCAGTTAATGTTTTGTACTAAGGGTTGAACAGTTGCTATGGTACTATGTACCGATTATATAAGGTCGAAAATTGCGTTAATTTCAACACAAAGGAGTATTTAAATTTGTGAGTTACAAATGCGCCACCATTCTACGAACATAGTTTGGGAGGTACGTTACTCGCTTCGTAAAGCTAACAAATAATGGTAAGTATTTCGAATACTTGGTGTTCCTTTTGATTGCCTTGATTTGATTGAAGCGCGAATGCATATCTATCCACGTCGGCCAAGCAGGCGTTCAAATTGGAAACGCCTGTTGGGAGTTATATTGTCTTGAACATGGAATTCAACCTGATGGTCAGATGCCTTCTGATAAAAGTATTGGTGGAGGAGATGACAGTTTTAATACTTTCTTCAGTGAAACTGGAACCGGAAAGCATGTACCAAGAGCGGTTTTCATCGACCTAGAGCCAACTGTTGTAGATGAAGTTCGCACTGGTACATATCGACAACTTTTCCACCCAGAACAGCTTATCACTGGGAAAGAAGATGCTGCAAATAACTATGCTAGAGGCCATTATACTATTGGAAAGGAAATCGTAGGTTTGGTATTGGACCGTATCCGAAAACTGGCAGATCAATGTGCAGGACTACAAGGTTTCTTGATTTTCCATTCTTTCGGAGGTGGAACTGGATCAGGATTTACTTCTCTTTTAATGGAACGGTTGTCGCTTGATTATGGAAAAAAATCCAAACTCGAGTTTGCCATTTATCCAGCACCTCAGGTTTCTACCGCAGTAGTCGAACCTTATAATTCGATTCTAACTACACACGCAAATCTTGAGCACTCAGATTGTGCATTCATGGTAGATAATGAAGCCATTTATGATATTTGCAGACGTAATCTGGATATTGAAAGACCGTCTTATACAAATTTGAACAGACTTATAGGTCAAATAGTGTCGTCGATCACAGCATCGCTAAGATTCGATGGAGCTTTAAATGTTGATCTTGCAGAATTTCAAACAAATTTAGTTCCCTATCCAAGAATTCATTTTCCTTTGGTCACTTACGCACCAGTTATTTCTGCAGAAAAGGCGTACCATGAACAACTATCGGTCGCCGAAATAACTAACGCTTGCTTTGACCCGGCTAATCAAATGGTCAAATGCGAGCTACGCCACGGCAAATACATGGCATGTTGCATGCTTTACAGAGGCGATGTCGTTCCCAAAGATGTAAACGCTGCGATTGCTGCAATTAAAACGAAAAGGTCTATTCAATTTGTGGATTGGTGTCCAACTGGATTTAAAGTTGGAATCAACTATCAACCTCCGACCGTTGTGCCAGGGGGAGATCTGGCTAAAGTACAACGAGCAGTATGCATGCTTTCGAATACAACTGCTATTGCGGAAGCTTGGGCAAGGTTGGATCACAAATTCGATTTGATGTATGCAAAACGCGCGTTTGTGCATTGGTACGTCGGCGAAGGTATGGAGGAAGGAGAGTTTTCCGAGGCTCGTGAAGATTTGGCTGCCCTTGAGAAAGATTACGAGGAGGTCGGCATGGAATACGATGAAGGAGAAGGAGCAGACGAGTATTAAAACGTGCGGCTCACGGTCAAAGTCATTCACCGTTTTGTCACAATTATGTAATGATGTATTGTTCAAGTAGTGGTTTTTTTTTCTTTCATTTGTAAACGTCGATGCAAAGTAATTCGCCCACAAAATAAAAGCAAGGTACTTGTTAAGCAGCGCATGATCTAATCGTATAGGTAATTTCAAAATATATCTTATTAATTATACAATTAAATAAACTGTTTATAAAACTTCATGGAAGCATATCCTACACGTTGGTTTGCAAAGCTATGGATAGATGGCATTGCTTCAAGCAGATTTCTGTAAACTTAGTTCGCTGCTTGTAAAATTTTTCAAATAAAAATTGTGTTACGTGATTTCTTATAGATTATTTGTATTACCATCTGAGATGAACCAAGCCAGGAACTTCTTGGTGAAATTTGCTGGAGGCAATGTGTGCCTCCACAAAGACTCCTCGATTGGGGTGGCACGGATAATGCTGGATAATCCCCAAAGACGCAATGCTATTACTGGTAATAGGATCAGTTTAATTCAATTATATATGATTTAATTGTCACATTTAGGTAATATGATGGTCAAGTTGAGAGAATGCGTGGAGGAGTTGGAAGAATGGGAAGAAGGCAAGGCTGTGGTTTTGCACGGGAACGGCGCTAACTTATGCTCCGGAGGCGATCTGGATTTTGTTAAAGCTACTGGATATCCAGAGGCGGCTTCTATTATGAATAGCTGGATGCAAGATACCATGATGAAGCTCAGAAATCTACCAATGGTTAGTGTGTGCCTAATACAAGGACCTACACTCGGAGGCGGCGCCGAGATTTCCGTGTATTGCGATTACATTTTAGCGGCAGAAGACGTCAAATATGGATTTGTTCAAGGTAAAATGGGTATCGTAACAGCATGGGGAGGAGGCACACTGTAAGTAAACATCTGTTTTAGATAATACTGCAGATCTTTAATATTTTCGTTGCTCTATTGATAGATTGGTGCAAAAACTGGGAAGGCGGAAGGCTATGGACCTTATGCTCACCTCGAGGATACTTTCTGCCGACGACTGCATGGACATGGATATAGCCGATGGCGTGCTGAAAGGACCCGACTATCTAGGAGAGGTCATCGAATGGCTAGGGCCTCGCATACAGCATCACCACTCGATTACTCGAACCATTAAGCAAATCGTCGCCAGCGAAGAAGACCTACAGCAATCCCTTGAATCGGAACGGAAGGCATTCGTTCCGTTCTGGGGCGGCGAGCTGAACCAAAAGGCCCTTGAGAAGCGCATCAAGCATGTCCAATGATTATATCCCGGTGTTTTTCCATCGCAGCGAACGGAGCAATAGTTTGCGCGACGCGGCGCCAATATTGATTTACCATAGGGGATGCGAACAATAGGGGTGGAGATTCGAGCACGGGATGTATTGATGATCATAATAATAATAAGAATAATTGAAAACCGAAAGAATAACAAAACTGCTTTATATATTTCTCTTGCATCAGTCTAAATCGACTGTTTTATTTACCTCTCTTTAAGTATTGGTTAATTGGTGGGCGATTTTGTAAACAGAGCCTTGACCGGAATCAAAGCGCGAAGAAGATTGAACAAACCGCATTTTATTTATAATATGTGGGACCCACATCCGGGATTATACCGCTTTTTTTCCACATTTTTTCTACCTCTTGTAATTTTTGTCTCTTTCCTTTTGCCTCTGCGCTGCAACCTTGATGGATAAGTGACTTGAGGTCAGGCCCTTTTTCGCTGCTCGCTGCGTGCCACTTTGTGGTACAACGCAACCCCCGCCGATATTGACTCATGATAGATTCCTCAACTATTGACTATTTTCGTTTCTATTATTTTTTTTTCCTGTGGGCCGACGCCAAGGTGACGCCTGCGAAGACACCTACAAGTTCAATCGTCAGAAGAGAAACAAAACAAAAATACGCAACCTCTATAATTTTTTTTTAAACGATTTCAAACTTCTTTTCTAATGAAGATAGATGTGTCGCAACAGCATTGAGCAACTAATTTTTTTTTAAGTCGCGTCAACGTTTTTGCTCATTTCATTTGCGCTTCCCCGAAAACGTTCACCCCTCAAGTTTTTGCATTATAAATAAAGTTTGCGAGTTGCGCACCCTCCGTGCTTTCTCGTGGTGTCATAGGGCCCCGAAGCATGCGGCCCTAATCTCGTATCCGCATTGAGTTAGGAAACTCCCCGGCCCATTCCGTCCCGTTCTCGCCCTCTCCCTTCATCCCCCACCCTCCTGGCTGTTTATTTCGGGACTCTTTTATTGGGGATATAAAGAGGGAGAAAGGGCCCAGTGGCGCAACACCCGTCGGGCACGAGATTCCCGTGCCGAATCGCTAACAAACTGTACACAAATTAAGCGCACTTAAAATCCGGTTAGTCCGTCGGTACCCTCAAAACAAGCAATGAAAATATGTTCTCTAAAAGGGATGACGGAACTAATTCTTAGTTACCCAATCGCTTCAACGTCAAAGGCACGTCTCCGTAAAGATTATTGTTACATAAGAGATAATGCCGCGCAGATGCGTGAACGACTCAGTTCCAAATATCCATCACATCTCTTCAAAAAAAAAACTTAATTCAATTAAAACCCAATAAGTTCTACACACAAGTTAAATTATTTTCTTTAATGAGAATTCTCAATATGTTTTTCTCTATATCAAATAACAATTGTTGAATATTTGAAGAAAATCCAATCAACGTAAGTTAATACATGTTATTTCGCATCTAAATTGGAAATTCAATATATTTGTATAAAGATTAATCAGGAAAACGACGTTAGCTGAGTGTAATTAATTGGATTTGATTTGGTCTCGAAATCGTCGCAGCCAAATGTTTGTTCTGTCATGCTTAGACCAATATTGATTTTCGTTATACAACGCGGCGACGAGTGCATTGCCTGAATGGGATAAGTCTGCTGGGAGAAGTTATCGTTTTGAAAAAATAAACAAATAAAATTTAAGCGGAGATTTGTTTAACATGTGGTCAGCAAATTTATCTTCAGGTAATAAAATCTTACCGAGAATATTCACTTTTTCTTTTGGTGAAGAAAGAAGTTTTTTTTTTCTGTAGAAGTCAAAGCAAGATTTAACAATATGTTTGGGTGTTAACTGTTATTGATTTGTTAATATTCACAGACCGTCTACTCTTTCCTCTGGACTCTCTTGTTTGCGTTTTAATAGACAGTTATGAATTTCATGACACGCGCAACGAACTCGCAGATAAATATTTATATTTTCTTAACTTAATTTAAGTAACAATTTTATTCATATTTCATATAAATTATTCTAACTTTTATTAATAATAGTTTGTCATTTCTTTAAATAATAAGAACAGACATTTTCTAATGTTAAAATTAAATTTTCATTTGCACTTTTCTTTGTACACGTAAAAAAAATTAATTTCATTTATAATTCAATAATGCAATGTATCTTAGAAATATAACGGTAAATATATTATTTACATAATTTCCAATTCTAGAAAATTTCGTTATCCATAATTTGAATACTCCCACATCATTTTTTTCTGTTATAATGTGAGTAAATGCATGATCAAAAAAAAATCTCCCAACTTAAAATAATTCAATCATCACAAAATTTATTAAAAAAAAATAAATTTTTAAATAAGTAATAATTTTAGTGTACATAAACACATTTTAGATACAAAAATAATACAATGATTTATATTTTGATTAAATTAATTAATTGTAATAATTAAATTTTCTGTTTTAAAGCTAACAAATGTTGAAAATGATTTTTTTTAATTGACTATGAAATTGAATTGAAAAACTAATTTTTTTTAATAAATCTGATTGTTCATTGGGTTTGAAGTGGTATTGCATATTAACAAGTCGTTCGCAGCCTGTGTCTACTCTCTCATTCAAGCTATGTATTAAAGTTTTTTTTTTGTTGTTAATAGGCAGATGGGCAGGGGCAGCTGTCCCAGGGTACGTGCGTGCATTTCGTCCTGTAAATTTTTTCGTTGTATGTGAGGTATCTTTCAGTTATTAGGCCCTTTTTTCGGGTGGCTAATAAGCGTGCGGCGAATGGTCGATGGGCGAAAATAAGGGCCGAAAGTAGGTGCACGGCACTGGTGCGGTGGATGTTGCGGGGCCCTGGTGGATCAGTCATCTCCCGCATTTGGTAGGGTAGGAACAGAACAGAACAGACCCGATGGCTGGCAGGCTGCAAGGCAAGCTGGCATCAAGCATTCGTTTCGAGGCTTCAATGGGGTTCGCGTCGAGCCAATGGGATGGATTGTATCTAAGAGTTACAATTCCGTCCGCGTAACTCGCGAGTTACCACCATCATTCATAAATAATAAAACTGTAGTCGCGGTTCAGTATCGAGTGCGGCTTTCGACGGTGCGCACACGTCGGGCCGCGTAACTCGCGGATTCTTTCCCAGTTTAGTTAAGAGTTTGTTACGAAAGAAATCATCGAGATATATAAGAACTGTTGTCCGTTATTGGGATCTGGATACTATTACTTCAAAAACGGATAGAAGGCTTGTGCTTCGATTGCGCCCTTTTTTGGTGGCTTTCGGAAAGGGTCCTTCATCCCCTACATCACATCTCCGTTCAAATTTTCCACCATGGTCCTTTTCCGTCACTCGGAGTCTGCGCACGCTATAATCGACACGACGGAGGGTGTGCCCGACGGTGAAGATTCGCCAAGATTATTGCGGATGTCACCCCTTCGGCATAGCCTCGGCGCGCATTCTATCACCACCAACAGCTCGCTGGATGCCGATATCAACAACAAAGGTAACTTTACCATCTCTTTCGACAAATTGCAATTCGAATTTGAAAAATTCGCGGGAACAGATTTCAAATTTCAAACTGATACGTATACACATTATTTTTCACCCTTGTCGCATCTGCTACTCTTCTTCCCCTTCACTCACGTGTTTAATATTCTTCTTATTTATAATAAGAATAGAAATGTAAAATCAAGCAAATCTACCAATATTTAAAACAATTTAACTATCATCCATCATTAATTAAGTTTTTACTAATTGCATTAACGAACAAAAATTATAAATTTCATTCATTATTAATTAAAAAACAAAACAATATTTCACAAACTCTCAATTTCATCAATTGTAATAAATGAAGACTTCATAAAAATGAAAATAACAGTAAACCCATGTGCTGTTCACTTTTTCGTTTTTTTCCTACCTGTCCTTTTCAGACCCTTCCAAACCACGTTGCGTCGCTCATGTTGTATAACCGATGAAGCACAAATCGGTTATTTGTATAAACGCATGTGATTAATTAAGTCCGATTACTCATTTTGTTATGAAAGCAAAATAACAGTAATGACGATTTACTTATTACACACTTAATATATTCATAATTTATGCGACGTCGTTTACGCAATGATTCATATTCAATAATCTATATTCGAACCGCAATCGACCACATCCGAATAATTACAATTTATTGTCGTCTGTTTACTCGTGCTTTGTTTTTTTACATCTTTCTTACACATCTTAGAAAATTACAATTTTTTTGTTACTATGGTCTCATTTTACGACAAAAAAATCATTGTTGTATTATAAAACAAACTAGGACATTTAATATTTACTTAAAGTTTTACATTTGATAACTACAAAGAATAATACGATTTAAACTGAATGAATATCATTAGAATTGAAGTAGTAAAGTTGTTAAATCTATTATTGACATACACTAAGTGGTAATATCTTATATAAACAAACTACTGTAGTATTTAAAGATTTAATTATTGACAAATAGACTTTTTATTATAGCAAATGAAAATTGTCAAAATATCCAAATAAATCGCAAAAATAAAGCGTTAATTAAAAAATGCTTTAGGTAAAATGAACAAATAGAAACTGTCGTTAAAACTCAACAAAACATGTAATGCCAATCGAATGACTTCTAGAAATAGGATAACGATCTCTAAATCCGCTAATTAAGTGCAGTTGTTGTATTCATAATGTTTGTTCGGTTTATGTTTTAGTAGCACTTATCCACCGCACATGCAGTAACTATTAATGCTAAATGGACGGTAAACGCAACGAGAGTAAAAAAAAAGAATTAGACGGACGATAAATATAATATTAGATTTTCTCATTACTTGAAGTGCACTTTGTAAAGCAATAAAACTGGTTACTATACATATATTTTGTTTAATGAATCAATTCATTTTCTTTGTGAAAATGAACTTTTATAACAACAACATCAACAAAAAACACCGTTGCTTTGCGGAAAATTAGAGCATGCTTTTTGTTTGACTACTGCAGATGAATGGTACATTACCGTCACATAGTTTAATCAGTCGTTATATGAAATAATTCTAGCGCAACAACAAAGCAAACTGTATTTTTTTTTTCATACATATACAAAAAAAAAATTGTGAAGGGAAAAAATAGCATATAAAGGTTGGTTATGGTATTTCATCCATGCTCTTTGTAATAAAGAATGTGTTACACTTCAAAGGACCATTGCTCCATACGCTCGAATGCGTTCCACTGATCTTGACTTGGAAACCATCGAAATTTGATTTGCGTCTACAATTCTTCACTTTTCCTCCACCTCCTCCACTTCGCATTTTGCTTGATTGCAAACGGTTGTAATTTCATTAAGAGGTCTCTGGCATTGTTTGATATGGAATCAACTTCACCTCAGCCACTTCACTTTGATTGAATTAAATCCACTAAAGCTGCTTTATACAAAGCTGAGCAATTGCACGGTAAACGGAACCGAATAAATTAGAGTACCAGAAAGAGAGAAATTGATATACATATATATATGTAATACACAGTTTTCACTTTTTTAATTCTACAATTTATAGTAGAAACGATCTGTGTAAAGTGAATTGCCATTAAGTTTCTAATTGAATCGTAAATGTTCTGGAGGCGTCTTCCGAGTGATACTTTCTGTTTTTACTGAATCTCTTTGTTTTTTTTTGTTATGGGTTTCAAGCAACTTCTTCTTGGTTATTATGTAAACTTCTTGTTTTAAGTTTTAAGTGAATTGTTCGAAGGTGCATGCAGATTCCGTGCATTATAAACAACATCTCGACAAGTGCAATCGTTTATTGGATTGGATGTCTGCCGGTCCCAAGGCCAAGGCATTTTGTTATTCCCGTCTTATATTTCGCAGATTCTTTAACATCGCTTCAACAGTCATATTTCAACAAGTCTAAACGTAATAATTCATATTTTTTTTACAATATTGTAATTTTTATACAAAATTATCAACGAAAATCTTTAATGATAACAAGCAAATAAATTGTATTTAAATAATTTCTATAAGTAATCAAATATTAATACATTAAATGAAAAAAAATAAATAAATATATTTCTGTATTTGTAAATTTTCTGATGAAATTGGATTTTTAATAAAATTGTATACACTTTACATTAAGATTTATTGTAAACTATACTTTGTTTCGAGATAATCGCTGTGATAAATGAAGTTGTGATATTTATAAAGGTCAATGAGCTACGTCTTTAGTTTTCTTAGCGTTTATCACATTGCATATTAGAATCCGAATATATAAAAATTCTTTACTAATTTATTTATTTTCGTAAAGTCTATCAATTTAATAAGTAAAAATAATTTAGTATATTATTTAATTAATTTATAAAATAAAATCTATAATCGATTATTTTTGTTTAATTGAATAATTAAATTGAATAAAATAACTTTGCTTAACTTTCAAAATTGAAGATTAATGAAAATTTAAATTTGATTTTCCAATTCACTTGAATAAGTCAATAAAAAGGGTTAAATTCTTTCTACGTATTTCGTTGATGTTTAACAAAATTTGATTTGAAGTTGAGATATTGCAATTCTTTATTGGATGACTACGTACGTCTCCCAAGGACGTATTGTAGTATGTTGTTGTTATTTCTTTAACGAATTCCATCGGTGTGCATTTCGGGTAGGACGTGACCCGTACGAAACGCTCGTATGCCTTGTAATTGTCGTACGATCAAAGGAACCTCTGTGTGTTAGCTTGCTTGCTTTCTTCATGGTCATTAATTAATAACCAACAATTTAGAAACGCAGCTCCTGCTCCTTCTTCGGTAACACTAAAACAGAGAAGTGAATGCAAGTCAGATAAGATAATTGCAAAACGTGAATGCCGTTGTTGTTGGTCAGTCTGCTGCTTCTGGTCAAAGGAGGCCAGATGTGATAAGCTAGTGCCCCGCGGGCAGCCGATAACCTTATCAGCGCTTGGTGCATTTCTTCTTACAGCCGCTCTCTCCGTAGTTGGATAGAATCGAACATACATGGACTAACTACTGTAGAATATATTCGTAGGCTGTGCACACAACAACGTAATTCAATTATGAGATTGATATGAAAACAAATTGAAGAATCCGCCAAAGCAATTAGTTCTCAAGTGCGATAAATATTGCATGATCGAATGAATGTCCGGTTTCGCAGCGTGCGGAAAAAGCGATGCATTGCGAAATAAAGCAGTGCAATTTCGTACTGTTTTAATATGGCAAAACCGGTACATAAATATAAGCCGAGTCTCCTCCGTTCTGCGTTCATCACATTTTCCTAACGCACGTACGCATATCTCGAAAAGAAGAAAAGAATGGAGAAGAAAAGATATGGAGTATGTTTTCCGAACAGTGTGATCTTTTGTTCGGCTAGGTGAAAGGTCGCGTTCGCAATTAACTCGACTACCAAGAATATGAAGCAAATAACAAACGGAACAGATATGAATGAGAAAAAGCAACTTAGATCCTGGAACCAGCGTGTATGTCCTTGAATCTTATTGATAGGAAAAATCTTCAATTTCAAATGGCGAAATTATCTTGTATGTTTGAAATAGACGTTTCTGGAGACTCCGGTGCCACCGAAACCCTCTATTTATAATCGCGAAACGGAGTCATGCGCTAAATTGTGATATTCTGTTTTTGAGTGTAGTTGAGGTTCTCTTCTACTTATTTTTCTTCAGTATCACGTCGACACAGGCACTGGAGTTATTTTGGGGCGCAGCATTAGCTATGCATTTGACCTTTTCCATGCAGTTTTCCTCCGTTTTCTTGGCTTCGAGGACGCCGGTGTATCTTCCTTCTTTCTGCTTGCATTCATCGCAGATACAGATACACACGACCCATTGGTATCACATACAGGATGTTTTTGTTACTCTTATATTGATAAATCTGTGATGCCTCCACTTGCAGTTTTACACCCAGACAGGATGTTTCCGTTTTTTGTTGTTGTTGTTTTGTTGCTTCACTTCTTGCATGCAGGATGTTTCTATTTCTACACGTGATCCAGTGAAAAATCTTCCATTTTCATTAACAGTGCACCAAGTCCGGCTAAGATAGTGCGCTATTAATAGTTCCCTTGACTTGACTCTGCCACATCCTTCTTCGACAAATCTTCTAAAATAATAAAGACATTCAGTTACATTATAACTCATAATGCGAGAAGCATCTACAGCTTATTAAATCTTCTATTTATATTCTTCTTTATACTGATATTCTTACTAATCTTATAAAATTTTAAATAATTACACAACACAAATCCAATTTAGAAATTCTAATTTCAATCCATGACATATTTTTTTCCTCAAAAATTAGTACTTTATATTTGCAAATAACTATTGTAATTCAATAATCATAATAATTTATGAAAACAATTTATAAATGCGAAGTAATATTTTTACATTCTTCTTCAAATTGAGTCACAAGTATTGATTATTACTATAATTAGTTAAGTCTTTTACATATGGAATGACAATTTCTGTTTCCTATTTAACAATATTT